CCACTTAATTCTCCTCTTTAAAAGGTGCAGTTTTTTAATAAAGATCCATAAACATTTTTTCTCCACCACTTAATTCTCCTCTTTAAAAGGTGCAGTTTTTTAATGAAGGTATCTGCTGGATTACCCTCACATTTAAAAGACTTCCAAGAATCTTGAATGAAAGGAACAAAAGTCTGATTATGAAACCAGCTCTTTTCAAATCTAAATAGAGGTGGATTAGGCTTGATTCCACCAGTATCTAGAATTAAAGGGCAGTGATCTGAGCCTACAAAAGGAGGAGAGTATTGAAGACTTAGTGGATGGACCCTATCCCATTCTGCACATATAAGAAATCTATCCAGTCTAGTCATAGCAGGAATATGACGTTTATTGGTCCAAGTGAAAGAACGTCCAGGCAAAGGAAGATCAATAAGAGCTGTAGAAGTAACAAAATTCTTGAAGGAGATGATATCTCTCAAAGAACCCATTCTGCCATTTCTTTCTTCTGAATATAAAGTAGTATTAAAATCACCACAAATGACCCATGGTCCTGTAAAGGTCTGACGCAAACGAGAAAGTTCCCACCAACATACATCCTTATCATCTCTATCAATAGGAGCATATACAGACAAGATAGTAAAAGACCAAGCTGAAGGTGAATGAGTCAAGGATACTGATGCCGAAAAAATACCAATGTATGAATCAAAGAGGTTGAAAGAATTTGACCATCCAATCATAACACCACCCCTAGAATCAGAGGAATCTAAGATACACCAATGTTTAATTCTATTACCTCCCAAAGAACGAAGAATTCTAGCAGATGGTTTGGAGAGTTTCGATTCTTGAATACAGATAATGTCAATAGAATGACGAAAAATAAACTCTTTAACCAAACTTCTCTTGTTTGGGTCATTTAGACCTCTAACATTCCATGAAGAGAATTTCATTATAAACAATAAGTTGAAAAACCTCCTGTCTTAAAACTTAAGGTCTCCTAACAACCTGATGTTGTTCTGACCACTTCTTTACCCTTCAAGATAACTATAACATCCTCATTCAAATTAATACCACAATTAGCTGCAATTTCTTCAATAGCATTGTCACACATAGAATTTAAAGGCATTTGAACAGAGGAAGATGAAGAAGAGGGTCTTTTCGTACCTTTTTTAGTAACTTTTGAACCAGATTTAGAAGTGGAGATATGTTTCAAGAAGCCTCTGTGCTTACGACTAGTAATTGGCTTCCTAGATGAGCGAACAGATGTTGAGACAGCTTGTTTCTGAGAAAAGCCTGGAGGAGCTGATGTGGAAAGTTGAATAGCTGGAGTATCATAAGATGCTTGTGGAATTGCTGACTCAGATAATTTTGAATTTGATTTGGCTAAATTCCCGCCAAAAATTTTATCCCATGTTTCTTTCTCCATATAGACTGTTTGACCTTTCCATGAATGCTTAACCAAATCAATAGGAAAATCCTTCAAAGATTCTGAAAATGATTTTGAGCTGGCATCCGAAGATATCGCCTGAGAATCAGCTTGGTTGGTTTTTTCCAAAACTGGTGAATTTTTAAAAGACTGCTGTTTTGGTAACGGATTTTCTCCCTGAAAATCCTCCGCATTCAACTCATTATTCAAATTTTGTGAAATAACTGTTTTACCCTTTTCTGATATCTGATCAGTGCTGCTGATTTGAACCTGCGCTTTTTCCGATGAACTTTTTGCCGGAGACTTATTGATAGCTTCTTCCTGAGGAGTAACCTGGTCTAACCACTGAGAGTCAATAACAACCTCTCCTTGCATTTCCATAGCTGTAATGTTACCAATCACTTCTGATCCAACTTGACCAACACCAATAGACTGAATATCTAAAATAACTTCTCTAGTGAAGGAGTCTATCTGAGATGTATAGGAACAGACAATGGTTTTAGGGATACACTCCGCAGATTTAACCTTAACAAGCACTCGAACATCTTGACCATTGATTTTATCCTTTAAGTTCTTACATCCTCTCACCATTTCTCCAAAAGAACTAATAATCTTCTCAATAATGTCAAGAGACCAGAAATGAAAAGGTAAGTTTTTAATCTTAATCCATTGGAAAAAAGAGGAGTTTACTATTTTCATGCCCATGTTTTCTGTCCAAAGCGCAAACCATCCCTTAAAACTCTCAAAGTCCAGAATTTTTTCATCAATAGCCTCAGACATTTGAAACATAGAAGGGAATTCAACAAGATAATGATTATCTTGAATAGGTATAACTTTACCTTTCCATGACTGCCATTGAAAAAGCCAAGAAAGCTTAATTTTGATCATATCCAAGGAAGGATTACCTTCAGAGACGGTGAGGATAGCAAACGCAGCAAGGACCTTTGCATTTTTGCAGAGGGTATCTAATTCAGATAAGTCAATTTTCTTCTCTAGAGGTCTAAGATGAGATCTGCAGTTCTTGGCAATATGACCTTCTTCATGGCACTTAAAACAAATGAAAGCTCCTTTGGGGCAAAATCTGACTGAATGACGATCATCACCACAGTTGAAACAACGACGAGGTTCCTTTGGATCCTTATAATCCGCCGGAAAAGGATATCGCAGAAGTTTGCTATCCATTTTATTAGAATTTTTCTTCCGATTAACCAGAGTCCAACCTTGATCGAGATCAGGATGAGGTTTAACAAGGCCAATTTTCTTTTGCATAGAACCAAAAGATGAAAAAGTAGGAGGTTCCTTCTGATTGGGGCCCTGAGACGGTTGATTAATGAACAGGGAGTTGAACGGACGGGGGAAAGAATGCTGACATGGCTGATGCATGGTGACGGCTGGAGCTGCATGGGGAAGGGAAGAAGAGCGGCTATGGACAAACTTTGATATGACGTATCCCTTATGGCCATCATGAGTCACCTGACGACGAGGTGAAGAAGATTAATGGGTATTATTGTCATAGGAGGAGATTTCCCTCTTTGTCGCCTATATGACACAATCCTCACCATCCTTATAAAGTAGGCACAAATCTCCACCAACTCACACTCTCTCTCCTACTTTATGAGGAATGGGGATGATAGAGATTATGCCACATAACGTCAAGGAGGAAATCCTCTCTTATGACAAGGATACCCATTAATCTCATATATATATATAACATGGAATAGACATCTTAGAATGCTCAACAACATATATTTTCTTCCTTTTCATATATTTTCACGTGTTTCCTATTATTCTGCGTGAACCAGTCAACCCCCAACTCAAAGCTAACTCCAAAATTTGATGATGATAGAAAGCTTGTTCGTGTGTATCACATAAGGCCACAGTCATCACAGTGATTGGAAGCTTAATGTTGTGTTTGGATGGAGGGTAGAGAAAGGAAGGAAATAGAATTTTGAGTTTAACATTATTCGGGAGTTTTACTGGGAGAGTAGAGGAGGGGAATGTGGAAAAATTTTAGGCTAAAATTCTAGACCCCAAATCAGATTGTCAAAGACAGGAAGGGAAAATTGACAATTTTCCTTTCCTTACTGTTCTTTCCTTTCTTTTAGTTAACTTCCAAACAGATCGTAAGGGGAAAAAACGTAGGAAAACGATTAGAAATGCATACATGTTATATAATTTTTTTCTTGCAATGGATATTCGTATTTTGATTTGCTTTTAGAATGAAATAGATAAGCATATTGTAATGGATTTATATTCGTATTTCGATTTGCTTTTAGAATGAAATAGATAAGCATATTGTAATGGATTTGAAAAATTCCTCAAGTACCCAAAATATGAGACCAATAAAGGGGACAAGTAAGGTGTCTCCCTCCTATTGGATAATGAGTTGATCATCATTAATGATTGCCAACTCATTATCCAATAGGAGGGAGACACCTCACTTGTCCCCTCTATTGGTCCCATATTTTGGGTCCTTGTAGCAAAGCTCAATGGATTTATATCGTTTCTATTAAATTCCTAACTCATTTAGGTGGCAGATTGGTGTAATCAAGGATTAGAGGTGAAAACTTGTAGAAGGTGATTGACATTAAAATTCCCTGTGAAAGGTCAAGTCTCCGCAATTTATAACAAATATATATAATGAGTATTGCATGTTATGTAAGATAATTTTCTCATATACAATGATGTGGATTATTCTTAACCAAATATTGTTATGAATTTTTTTCTTTATTTATTCATATGGTAAAAATTGCATCATATCATTGTCTGATATAATCTCCTCATATAACAAGGAAATATATTTTCCTGTAATAAAAAATTTGATAAAGCAACGGTTCCTTCGGCAATTTTTTATTGGTAGTGGAGAATATACAGACGCTAACTATATCATGTTTGCATTTTACTTCCATCACTCAAGCAATGGATCCAATTCGGTAGAAAATTTTTGGGCTTCAATCCTTGTTTTTCTTTTTTTAGTAAGTTTTAGAAATAAATAAGAAGAAAAAATTAATCTTGGCTAAATTGCACTTAAATGCCTTAAAGTTTCACTAACATTGCACTTAAGTGACCCTCTTTTAAGACCAAGCAAAAAAATAAAGAATTTTTAAGAAATAAAGAAATTAAACATTGTAGATAAATGCCCCAAAGTTTAGAATCGTTGCATGTTGACATCCTTTTGGTTATCCAATGTTGCAAGTTGATGACTTTTTGTTCACCCAATATTGCATATAAATACACTCAATTTGTAAATGACCTAATTTAAATGTCCTAAATTTTTTAAACAGTTTCATTTTAGTAAATGACCATTTGTTATACGACATTGTCCTATACATAGAGAAAAGTTAACACTGGCTTATTTTTTTAACTATAGAGCATTTATTTGTAATATTTAAAAACCTTGGGACATTTTTTCAGCTCGATTTTAGATTAGGGATCACTTAAACGTAATGTTAGTGAAACTTCAGGGCATCCAACTGCAAAATCTTTCACCCTCTACTTCGTGGCTGCGAATGGCCACGTCATCTTCGCCGCATGATTGAAGCCGGTAATAAAACTAAAACCTTCAATTTGAGCGGCACTGGAAAAAAATTTTGGCGGCAAAAAGAGGGGAAGAAAAATCCCTTCCCCCCCTCCCTCCCTTTTCTTCTTCCAGGCCCCAAACCCTATTCTCCTTCCTCGCCGCTTCTTTCAATTCCCCCATCCCGTAATTATCTATTTACACTCCCCGTTCCCAAACTCCAAAGATCAATTTTACAAACCGAGCCCAACTTCAACAACCAAAAATGCCGCTCTTGAAGAAAAAACCCTTCTCTCTCTTGGAGCCCCCGAAGGATCTGAGCCCAGATGAGCAAGTGTGGCAGATTCGCTTCACCCATGAGATCTTCAGAGACTACTCGTATCCTCTTCTCACCTCAACCCATTTCTTTATCATCATCATTACTATTATTTTACTAATTGGCAATATTTGACTGAAATTTGAGTTCTTAACTCGATTTAGGGTGTATTTGGAGAGGATGAACTTGTATCGGCGGAGAATTTGGGCGTGCAGGATCACGGCGAGGACGAATATGACTTACGAGGAGGCGCTGGTGTCGGAATTAGAGGCGATTGCTAAGCTCCGGCGGTTTCCTGAGGAGTTCAAGGGTTTCGTGCTGCAAAATACCCAATTCAGTAAGCAGTTCTAATGACTGGAAACCCCTTTTGTTTGGGTAAATTGCAGATAACCCCCACCCATCAACTACGTTATTAGCAGTTATCGCACTTAGGTTGCTAAGGTTATAGACGACGGAGGCTGTCTGCAACTGACATATTTTACTTTCTTAATTCGTGATTTTAGTAATACGTTTGTATCCAGGACGATGCAAATTAAACATTAAAGCAGCTGCTAATGTGAATTAATTCAATCGCGGTCTCTTGCACCGAATAGTTCTGTAAATTTTAATTCAATTGCAACACTAATGTGATAGTTATATGTGCAGGGATTGGGTATTTTGCATATGCGTGCAAATCTTGCCCTTCACCAAATCTTCTTCCATATGCGTGCAAACAAACAAGACTTTGAGTATTGGTCTTTCTAGATCTATAGCATTCATCAAAATGCGATCCATGAACCAAACAGCCCTCTTATGTGCAACTATTAGTCTATTAGGCTCTAGGTTAGGAGCCAATCTTCACAAGCTAAGGGTCTATGTCGCTAATATAGTTTGCTGTAGTTGGTGTAAGTATCTTGGTATTAGATAGCATCATGCTCTTCATGAAAGATATCAATCATGACAAGTTGTGTTTCATGTTCGTAGTTGTTTTTGCCATTTTGCTAGTACTAACGAGGTGTTTTGGCCATGGGACTACTGATGCCTTTTCAACATCTGAAGATTTTTCCTTCTGATATTTTCTTGTACCTTGAAAATATTAAATACATACAAATATTTTGCTTTCTTGGAGCTCGACCAGTCAGTTTTCCATTGTACTTCCACTATCGAATCTTAACATAAAAGGTCACTGACTCAGTGGCTTATAAGTGTTTGCTTTGTCTTGACTGTCATACAACTGCCTTCAAATCACATATATTCCAAATTAATCTTTTCTGAATCAGAGATCCATTGCCAGGCTCATTTTTATGAGATATGAGAGAAGAGGCTTACTAACCTGACACAAGAATATATGTACTTATGTTTTGTAGTACGTTTGAAAGTATTGATTCGGAGTATTTTTGGAAAATATTGATGATGCTGGCACTCAGATTTGAGTTGTTAATCCACCACCCAAACTGGAAATCCACACTATCAAATGTCATCTACTAGGTGTGAGCTACTCTGGAACAAAATTTTGAAGTCTTTTCATGACTTATCCATGTATCATCATTTTCATGGCCCATATCATAATGCTCTTGAAAGATGAATATTTTTGTCCATTTTGATTAACGGGCAAAACATGAGGAAAACCTTAGTTTTGTTTCAGATAGTTTATGCATAGAAAATGTCTGGATCTTAAATTTGGACCATTGCATGTAGTGTCCACTAAAGTAACCTTACTCAACTAACTGATGTTGGTATCGACAGGTTACGCTCAAGTTGGTTCTCGAGTACAAGCATCTGTTCAGTTTCTATAGTATGACTCAGACCTTCTTAAACAGCACTGCTCCTATATTATATAGAACTTCTTAAAACAGGATGGCTTTATTTAACACATTGTGAAAGTTTGTATATTTCTTTTGCGGTTAACTTATTCAGTTTGTTGAGAGTGTTATTTGGCACATTTAAGAGCGTATTGATGGTGGGCTTTCTTATGACAAACACATTCCAATCTGCCTTACTATAGAATCCAAAATGTGAAATCTCTGTAGGAACAACAGAAATTTTGCATCAGATTGTTGTCAAGAAGAAAATAAGTGGGGAAAATTGATGGATCAGAACACTTCAGATGATGTTTGGCAGCTTTCGCTATGTTTACGTCTCTGACCGATATTGTTTAATTCTATTCTGATTGTAATCTTACTTCAGGCATGCTGAAGATAAATGATCTGGCAACAATGGTAATTGAGAAACTGAGAGAGACACTTCTACCAGGTGAAGAGCTCCTAGGACATATAGACAATTGTAGCGGTCCCTGCAAGATTAAGAAGGTATTGGGTGGCAAAGGTGGCACCGCTTATGAAGTTGGTTGGCTTAGTGATAATAAAGAAGTGACTAAGACTTCTGTTCTGGACAAAAAGAATTTGATCAGGAAAAAGTTCCCTTTCTCAAGAGAGCTATTGAAGCTATACATAAAGGAATCAACTCTTCAGACTAATCCCTGGGTAGTCCAAAATAATCTGGTGAAAATGTATGGATTGCCTACAAAACCCCCTCATGGATTAGAAGAAAAGATAACTAAGCACCAGGTAAGTAATAGAATATTATTGTGAACACGTAATGAATTTATTGCATAAGAAATGTTCTGATGTTTCTTATTTTATCCCACACAGAAAGTTGACGGTGTCTCAACTATCAAAAAGACAATCGAGAACATAGAAACAGGTTAGCGCTCATTGTTGTATTATTTTTTATTGTTCTCTCTTGGAAAATTCTTTGTGTCATTTACATTGTACAAAAGGACATGTATGGATGTATGCCTAAGGGATGTATCCTGTTGACTTACATATTGATATATCTACTGATATTTAATTACTACCTCCGTATTTGATTATATTTTTCCATTTTGTTCTATGTGGTATGTAGTTAAGGGATTTGAATGTTGATACCTACCTAAATTTACTTTTTGGCATTGGCTATTAACATTGTCATTTTTTCAATTTATTGTTCAAGTTACTAAAACTGGTTGGTTCTCTTCTCTGAAATCTTTTCTTCTATATGAAAGATCAAGTGCAAGTCCAGACAAATAAGTCCACAAAGAGGGGAAAGCAATCGAAGCTAGAAGAGATTGTCTACCCCATTGAAGATCTACTTGTGAAACCTAGTAGGGATGATCCTGAGTTTACAAAGCGGCCTGTTCCTTCTGTTAACTTTATTATTCCAGTGGCTGATGTCGGAAACCTTCTCATGGTTTGGGATTTCTTATCATGTCTTGGAAAGACTTTGCACTTGTCGCCATTTTCCCTTGATGATTTTGAGAAAGCTATTGCTTATGATGGTGTCTCGAATCTCATTGCTGAAGCACATATTGCACTGCTAACCCTGCTTGTAAATGAAGAAGGTGAATATTATGTTTTTATCCAGCAAAAGAAGAGGGAGGAAAAGGTAAAAACTATACACTACCTTTATTGCTTGTATTTGATGTAATAGATTGATTTGACTGGTTGTTTTTCTTCTATCTATTGCGTACTTGTGGGTTTTCTTCTGTGTAGATTATCATGAACACTTGGTTGCAGTATCTGTGTGATTTCTTAGAGTTAGAAAGCAGAAGCAAATTTACAGATCACATCCTTAGGATAAAGGAAGGGAAATACGGTGGGCTCCACGTGCATGATAAACTGGAAATTCTTAGCAAGCTAGTCCATTGGGCTATTTCAGCTGAAGCAATTAGGAATGAGATAGATAAATGCATTGAGAAGCAACGAGACCTTATGGCTAACAAAAGGGAAGAAGATTTGGAAGAGTTGAGGATGAAACGCGAGGAGAAGCGACTAAAAAAGGAAATTGTTAACAAGACGACTCCAGACTCCATGACCAATCATGCGCAGGCGGAATTGAATGGAGATGTTGACATGAAAAATCCATCATCAATTGATGTGAATAATTCAGGCAACAGGTACAACATGGTGGTGTTTCTGTATGTGAATAAGATGTATAGTTATCAGGTTAACTACAAATCAATCCCTGTAGTATCACTGTTTTGAACTTCCTAGCCCTTGTTTCACTGTTACAGATAGACCACCTTGGGTTAAATATCTTTCGGCTCTTTCACCCTGGGTGAAATTTTAGAAGATATTAGCCATGGGTGAAATTAGTGAATCTATCTGAGGGTAAAAGAATAATAAAAAATCTTGAGTTCTACCTGCAAAAATAAAATAGGGTTGGCAAGTTCAAAACAGCGATACTGCATGGGGTCTAAGTGTGATTAACCTGCCTTTGTTTAGTAGATGCTGCATGATTTGTTTGGTGTTGACTTCTTCAGAAATATATTATATAATGTTTGCATACCCTGAAAATCCCATATTGCCACTATGATACTCCTATTGGAAAGTTCATGTTGATTGGTGTAGAAAATGCTGACAGCGAAAATTGGTAGGATTTCCTTTTAGTTTGAGATAAATTGTTAGGAAATGTTGTGGCTACAGATAACATTTTTTCTCCAGATTTATGGTTGGTTGCCTCATTATAACCATTCTGGTTTGTTTCATTTTATTTCATGTTTCGTGTTCAGGGGGAGCAAGCTTGAAGTGTTGGCATCAAGAAGAGCTCTTATGATGAAAAACTTGACTTTGGAGAAGGAAAAAGAGAGTTCAAGGAAGAAGGAGCTTCAAAAGTTACGTGAAGAAAGCAGAGCTAAAGAGAAAGAAGCAAGAGAAAGGAAATTAAGAGAAAAGAGGGTATGCCTATGTAATCCTTATTCAGCTTCATCAGAACATAAAATTCTCTCTTGCCCTCATTTAGTTTCTGCCTAACAATTCATCAGTGGTACGGATATAATAAATGAGTTAGATTTTGTGTGCTAATTCAGAAAACTTAAAACTTTATTTATGTAGATTTTCCACAATGCATATACATGTTACTTTAACAGCTAACAGAAGTTCTGACCAAATGATAATACATATTGTTATAGTCCGAGCTATATGAACAAGAGATCGAGAAGTCGCACATCTGGACTAGTGCTTTAGGTAAGGACTGCGACCACAATACATATTGGTTTTTCCGAAGGGATGGGAGGATTTTTGTTGAATCATCTGATCATAACCAATGGGGATTTTTCTCTTCCAAGGATGAGGTACGTTGTAAGACACAATTCCGGTTATATGTGACGTTCCTGTCAATTACAGTTCTTTACTCATTTGTGCTGTCCATTATTTTTCAGCTTGATACTCTTATAAGTTCGCTTAATCCAAAAGGTCAAAGAGAATTGGCCCTCAAACGTCGTCTTGAAAAACGCTACACAAAAATTTGGTAAGTTCATAGATACCTACTTTGAGGATATACATATGTTCAGTCTCATGAGAAAAGTTCCAAATTAAATATGGTAGTTTCTGAATTCATTGTTGCTTCTCAGTTCTGCACTCCAAAAGAGATCCAAGGAAATGGTACGAAAAGTTGTACTAGAAGATACTGCCATTTTAAGACGATCTGTTCGGGTGTCCGCAACTCCAAGAAACGAGACTCCATCTTTTCTCCAATATGTAAATAAATTGTAATTTTGGCTCTAAAGAGTTTCGATCTGTGCATTTTGTCAGCACCACAAAACAGTGCATGCTAAAGAAGCACACTTCTGGTCCTTCCCAAATGTTGAACTGTGGTAACCTTGCCCTCGTGGGAACTCTCATCCCGCCTGATAAAGTTGTAAAGGATTTTTTTTTAATGGGTGAGGGAGCTATATGATGATTTTTAGGTGGAGGGAACTACAGTAATAGTTGTGATATGTTCTTTGATTTTGCTTGACGTTTTTAGCCCAGTTTGTGATTGTTCACCAGATAATGTGGGTGACGTCTAGATCATGAGGCTAATTTTACAGACCCCTGTAGTGTAGTATCACTACCTAGGGTTAGGTGTGGGCCGGGTAGGCTCGTGGGCTAACTCGGCCCTCGCTTTGTCATGGGTCATGACCCGACTTGGCCTGTAGCGGGTCGGTCGATCCCTGCTTTGATATATCGGATCATGGGCTAAGTTGGGTTTAACCTTAGGCTTGAACCTACGTTGGCTCGGCCCATGGGCTAAGTTGGGTCTAACCTTAGGCTTGAACTTTACGTTGGTCGGCCCATGCCCTATCCATCTTGTTTTGGCCCATAATATTTTTTTTTGAAATTTCAGCCTAACATAAAATCAGCCCAGTATTATATATATATAATATATATATATATATATATATATATATAATATTATATATATATATATATATATATATATATATATATGGAGGGAGGAGAGAGAGAGATAGATAGATAGAGTAAACTTGTTTCAAGTTTCTCCATTGAACTTGGTAGTGATATAGACTGATCTGGTTCACGCATCTAGACAGAGAGAAGTTGATGTTAAGTTTTGTAAAAAACCTACTTTTTTTAAAAAAATTCTCTCCCCTTATTTACTGCTCCAATCTCTCTCTCTCTCTCTCTCTCTCTCTCTCTCTCCTCTCTCTCTCTCTCTCTCTCTCTCTCTCCTCCTCCTCCTCCTCCCTCATTCACTACGCTCCTCCCCTTCCACCCTACCGTCGTCGTAACCCACATGTTTGGAAGGGAGAGCCTGCGAGTTTGGAAGGAAGAGGCAGCGGTGGGTGTTGGGTGTAGCTCAAACCTGCGCGCAGGCGAGCTCGAGCTCGAAGCTTCAGGCGGAAGAAACTGCAGGCGAGGTCGTCGAGTGGCTTAAGGTGAGCTCGAGGCATGCGGCAGGCGAGCGGCGCAGCTCAATGGTTGGCGAGGTCAGAGCGAGGAGCCCGCAGGCGAGGTCGGCGCTCCAAGGCTGTCGACAGACTGTCGCGAGCTTTGGGTTTCCCTTTAATAGGGAAACCCTAGGCTATCGACATGCTGATTGACAGCCTGTCGATAGTACCTAGGGTTTCCCTATAAAAGGGAAACCTTGAGCTCGAGAACCCGATGCTTTTCCCTCTCTCTCTCTCTCTCTTGATCTAAACCCTAGGCGCACGTGGCGGCTTCTTACTTCTCTCCCTCCTTCGTGTGTTCAACCCCTGGCGGTGTCCCGCCCCCCTTTCTTCTCTTCTTTTGCCCTTTTTTTCTCAGCTCATGTTTTGAGGGAGGAATTTAAGAAAGGGAAATTTATTTAAGAGAGAGAGAGAGAGAGAGAGAGAGAGAGAGAGAGAGAGAGAGAGAGTTAAAATTTAAGAGGGGATTTAAGAAGAGAATCTTCACTATAGCTACAGTGTTGATTGTTACATTTATTGAGAGATCTCAAGTTTGAGATCTGCTCTTGTATTGTAATTTTTAGACCCTAGAGAGGGGGGGTGGGGTGATTAGGGTCTTATGCTAATCTAATCCAATTTTATACCAATTAAAACTAATTAACAAGTTATCCTAGCAAGTATAAAATACAACAAGATATGTGAGCTAGGATAAGTGATATACACAAGGGTAAACAAAATAAACAAGATAGTGGATGATATAAATAATGAGTAATGGACAATGGCGAATAGTGGATGATATAAATAATGAGTAATGGACAATGGCGACAAGAAATATAAACATAAGAGAAGTGCGCTAAAGCAAACTCAAACACACGATATGATCACGGATCGGACCTTTCGTCCTACGTCTCCGCTCCCCACTCCCGGGGAGAAATCCACTATCACAACCGGGTTTTCTACGCTCACCCGAATAACGTTTACACCTCATAATGTCGGTTTTCAACGCTCACTGATTAATGTTCACAATCACTCACAATGTCGGTTTTTAACGTTCACCGATCAACGTACACAATCACTCACACTCGGTTTTCTAGCTAACCGAAAACTTTACAATCTCACAATGTAACAAATGCAACAATGGTTGTTCTCTATTATGGATGAGAAGTCAGTGAAGCACAAATCAATGTTACAAACTCTCACAACCCCAATTATACTATATATGTAAATACTATAAGCTCAATGTGGGTATGTGTAACAATAAGATTTATTAAATCTAAACTCAATGTAAAAACTAGCTTTAAAAAAAGATAATCAAACAAATATGTAAATGTAAAGCTAGATATAAGTTTAGAAATTTTTCTCTGAAAAAAAGATGGAGAGATGGATTAAGATGAAGCCCAAATAATGTAGATGATCTCCTCCACTTGTGAAACAGTCTTCACAAACCAAACTCTTTTAAAACACACAAAACAAACTTTAAAACTCTTGTTAAACTTGTTTAAAACATTCTCATTCTTTTTGGAGAGCTGAAGGCAACATGGTATTTATACCCACTCAAAACTTCAGCAAAAACCTCATAAAAATGACAACAAAGCCCCCAGAAAAACAGCTTAGAAAATAGCCATTGGAAGCCAACGGTCAAATCGGCGGTTGACCGCGAGCAACAAAAAGACAAAACTGAGCTCTGGAAAACAGACGGTCGCGAAACTCTTTGGACTGCATCCGGTCGACCGCCACGGTCGACCGCGAGTAATAAAGAAACATACTGAGTCTCTGGACTCAGGGGCGATCGACCGTGGCGGTCGACCACAAACAGATATATGCAATATGATAGGTTTGAAACAGTTTTCTAATTTTAAAACCCTGTTTAAAAATATCAAACAAATTCAGAAAAATATAAAACTTTTGAAAATGATTGTAGACATGATAATACACATGCTACAAAAATTGGTTTTCAAAAAGAACCTCCCAAATGAAAAATATCATCATTTTGCAAAATAGTCCAAAACATGAAAATGTGAATATATGAGACATTTTAGCTTAACCATGTCTTGAAACAATACAAAATAATTTTATAGACTTGAAGAAAGATGTAAACTATTATTATGAAGTCTATAAACAATGAATATAGTATTTTCACAAATACAATAGAATATGAAACATATGAGTATGAATATGAATATATATTTGTTTCATATCTATGAAATTAAACCAAACCAACTTATCCACATAAAAACAAACATGTATGAATATAAATATTTATTTATATGCTAGTAAAAACTTTGTTTGTGGATAAACAAAAAACCAAAGCATATATGTATATATATAACTATATATATACAAAACCAAAACGTGTATGTGTGTATATGATTAAGCTTAAAGTACTAACACACATAATATAACACCTAAACTAAATATAGCCAAGCTTGATAGATCTTCGATGTAGCAACTTGGTACACTTACGGATGAAGCTAGAACTTGGATCTTCAATTTGAATTGCATAGGCTTCACTCCATAATTCCGCCAACCTCTATTTGATATGACCGTGAATGCTCGATTCCATCCATCCTCTAGCATATTATTTGTCTACAATAAATAAAAAAATACGAATACTAGACAAACAATATTAGTGGTAAATTATTTGTTAAACATCATCAAAACAAAGAGGTCAATAGTAATTTCTTGTTGATTAATGAGAAATTAATTGTGTGGCTCCCGAGGACGTAGGCAAGTTTTCCGAACATCATTAAATCTTGGTGTACTTTTCTCTATACTGCATTTCTGCTGTTTTAGGGGTTTAGCGTAGCCCCGGGTATTCCCTAACAACTGGTATCAGAGACTGAAATGATTTAGAGGAAGTCAGATTCAAGTGAGAGTGATAGCCGCAGATGAAGGAAATGTGAGATTAGAGAAGTTCGATGGAACAACTTTTGGATTATGAAAAATACAAATAGAGGATTATTTGTATCAGAAAAATCTGTATCAATCTCTCTCGGGGAAGAAGTCGGATTCTATGAAGGAAGATAAGTGGAACATTCTAGACAGACAAGTCCTCGGAGTTATCAAATTAACGTTGACTCGTAATGGTGCGTTCAATATTGTGAAGGAAAAGACCATGGCGGGTTTTATGGCAGGATTCTCAAATATATATGAGAAGCCATCAACCACGAATAAAGTTTATTTGATGAGGTGGTTATTTAATCTGAGAAGGCGGAAGACGTGTCAGTAGCACAACACCTCAATGAACTCAACACGGTCACAACCCAATTGAGTTTAGTTAAAATTGAGTTTGATGAGGAAGTTCGAGCGTTGATCCTTTTATCTTCCCTATCAGAAAGCTGGAACGCTACAGTCACGGTTGTGAGTTTTTCATCGGGAAGCAACAAGTTGAAGTTCGATGACGTTCATGATCTGGTTCTCAGTGAGAAGATCCGACGGAGAGAGTCGGGTAAAGCTACAACCTCTTCAGTATTGCATACAGAGTCAAGACATCTATCAATCGTTCCATCTCTGCTTTCCCCGAAAGGAAGAATCTGGCTTATCCTATTCTCTTTATGCTAACTGTATTAAAATCAATCATCACTTTATGGTTAGACCAAACCATTCGAAAGACGAACATTAGAAATTCAATAAGAGAGAACGGAGATGGCAAATCAAACTACAGAGGTAGATCAAAGGATAAGAGGTCCAAGTCAAGGAATCCAAGCAACAACTCGAAGGCTATCTAGTGTTGGAATTATAAAGAGATCGAGCATTAGAAGAATCAGTGCAAGAGTGCACAGAAGGTGAAGGAGGCGAAGGCAGAGGTGAATGTCACTTCCACCTCAGGAGGAGACGGCGCATTGATATGCTCTTTGGAGAGCAAGGAGGAATCTTGAGTGTTAGATTCAGGAGCGTTGTTCCATGCTACTTCTCAGAAAGAATTCTTCGAGAAGTATGTTCCTGGAAATCTTGGATATGTATACATTGGTGATGATAAACCATGTGTGTAGGCTGTCTAAAAATCACAACAGATAGCCAATCCTCATCAAACACCGATGATGGAAGTTACAATCTGACGACTTCCA